AAGAAAGAGTGGTAGATGCTACACAAGTCTACTATCACTTAAAACTAATTTACGTGCAAGTCACTACCCCTGCACCATCCTGTTGCGGAGCATACGGTGGAGAACATCGTCAAGATCGACGGTCGAAGTGTCGTCGTGTAGAATGGAGCTATCACAGTTTACTGTGACGAACGACTTCTCACGCTAGCCTACGAAATTACAAATACTTCACATAACCAAAGAATACCTCCGTGAATCACACAAGGAAGCAGGAAAACCTTATCGGTCTGCAGAAAGATGTGGTTTCAAAAGGCTTTGGATGAAAACTGGGCACGAATAGTAGGTGAAGCGTGCTTGGAATACGGGCAAAGGGGTAGCTGAAATTTCACAAGACACACTTAGACTACAGGCGATCGAAAGGTCCCCCGACTCGTGGGATAGAGGGATAAGTGCCATTTCACATTACGGGGCACACTCTCCAAACAGCGGCTATGGTACCAGCCACCGTGCGGCTGCTGATGGCCCACAGGAGTGCGCCCCAACGCAAATGGGGGGATGAGCGTGTCCTGCAAAACGATTGGTCAGCACCCCACTACCATAATGAATATTCTTGATTGAAACCGATATGACAACGAGTCCGTGACTCAATGATTACGGTGCTGGAATTCTAACTAAGTGGTCCCGGGTGCGGACCTCGGGTAGTGCACCGGTTTTGGTTGCCTATACCTGACCGATTACATCTAAGAAGTCAGAATTGGCCAGTTCAGGGTCCGTTGTTTTTGTCAGTAATAACATTTTACCCAAAAACCCAAACACAGTTTTAAATGAGCGCCCCCTATTCTCTAGAAGTATTCGCGAAATACATTTGGGTTTCTCAAAAGGACAGGTTTTCTACGAAAATCGTCGGAAATATTGCGAGCTTGGGCTGACAGATCAAGGGCATGTCTTAGCAAGCGAAAGCACACAACACTGGTCGAGCAAGCACATTATTACAATGAGGTCGAATAGCTGTTGACCCAAAAAGCAGGCTTTCATTGGGTGGTGCGGTGGGTGGTGGTGGCTTGAGAGTCCTCGACAGAACAGCATAAATCGGCCATAGACATACTGCCGTGTTAGGTATAAAGAGCGCCAATTTAGCGTTTCCGGTGTGGCCAAAGAAGGCTCTACAGAATCCGGTGTTCATCAGGGTTATGCCCTACTACTGAGTCTATTACAGTAAAAAATTCTGGGTTTCTGACAACACAATACAAACTCGCACTAAAGTGGAAGTGCAGACGTCGGTGTCGATAAACACATTTTCAGAAACACTGGGAACAATGCTCGAAATGGAGGCTGGAGTATTCTCAATAGGCTACATACTAGAATCGTCAAAGAAAACAATGACTGCATCGGAATTCGCAGCTGCAGCTATCTGCTCAATCACGGTGAACGATAAAACCGTTGGCCTGGCGTACATCATCTTCTACTATGGACCAAATTTACTGATGAACAGGCTAATACGTATAAAAGCAAATAGGACGCACACGGCCCTGGTCAGCTTCGTCAACAGCTGTTAAATCGGCATCCGACTGGGTTGAAGACC